TGGAATTGATATAGCAAGAGGTATATGAGTTTTTAAAAAGTATAAATATTGATACATTGTCATCCAAAATGTTTGTATCCATTTGCAGTTGCAAGTTATTTACCCAGCTCTCAAACACTAGGTGTTATAATCTTACATCTTTACCAATCCGATACAAGAAAAACACCTATTTTTTTTTAAAGATTTTATTTATTTATGAGAGAAATGGGGGCAGGGGGCAGAGACACAGGCAGAGGGAGAAGCAGGCTCCAAGCAGGGAGCCCGATATGGGACTCGATCCCGGGTCTCCAGGATCACACCCTGGGCTGAAGGCGGCACTAAACCACTGAACCACCCGTGCTGCCCAAACACCTATTTTTTTTTTTTTAATTTGCCTTACTCTAATAATGACTGAGAATCCCATTGCATTATGTTTGTACGTACTTAATACTACAGTTAAAATATTCTGTTTTATGGGTAGGGACTATTTTCTATTCAGCCTAGTAAATATTTGCTAAGTGTCCATTATGTGTCTAGTTGCTTAGATTGAATTCAACTAAAACCAACATAAACAACAACAGCACTTGGTACCAGTGAATGTGGCAAAAAAATATAAACAATAAAAATGCTAATGGTAAAAGACCTTCCCACGGTATAACTAGTTTTGAGTGATGAACAGCATGAATTAGCTACAAAATGTACCCATAGGTAATTGAATAAAACGAGGTGTTAGCCAGCGTTATTTCACATTTTCTACTTGAAAACTGGATAACATCAGCCCCAAATCAAATTTGGTATTGGCATAATTAATAATGATCTGTTCTCTCTGGAAGTATGGTAATTAGAAATCTGGCTCAGTGACTCCTTAATGTCCTTACTTGTTTGTGACAGAAAACCATGAGTGTGGCATTAAGAATGACACTTACTTTCTCAGTTGCTATGGGACAAGGCAGCTATAAAAGGTGTTTGTCCCAGAGTTGAAGAAGGAGCTATGCCATAAAAGTTTCTCTTTTATGGTGTAGTTTATCTCTTTTATCTAAGCTGTCTAGAGACTATTTCAACTCGATTATCACAAAGCTAGTAAAAATGCAGATTTCATAAAAGCCTAATAACACACTTTATGCTAGCATTTCACATTTGGTTCCTGGGCAAGCTGGTGATAGATAGATGGAGGGAGAAAAAACTACAAAAATGTACTGTGTTCCAAAATGTTTCCTAAAGTGTGTCAAGAGGTAAGCTACAAAAGAAAAAGCGTTCTGTACTCAACCAAACTCTAGGATAGTTGTTTAGAAAAGTGAAAGAGGTTTCTTTACTGCAAGATTTCAGAATCTTTAATACAACAATGACAGGGAGCCAGTTTTCAGTGTCAGCCCAGCTCATTTGACCTGGAATCCCTATTTCCTCTGTTAATGTATGTTGTTTTTCAGCCACCCAAGGGTCCACTTTTCGTTCTTAAATCTGGTGAGGCTATGATCAGGGGTCCCTCTCTATGCCAGCTACAAGTTAGGACAATTGAAAGCTGGAATCCTACTTGGGAGTATCACAGAGCAATAGATTGGGGTCCACCCATTGCAGCAGAAGACATCCAGTCATGACATTTCTGCCCCAACATGATCTTATTACAGCCCTTTGGAATTGTCTAACTCCTGCAGGCTTTTGAGCCTGGTTGTGTGGGCTGGCTGCCCATCGATTCTTAGAACTCCTGTCATCCTTTCATCAAATTCTTATTTGCTTAAGTTGGTTGGAGTAGTTTTTTTTTTTTTTTTTTTGTCACTTTGCAACCAAGAGATCCACACTTAAAAAAAAAATCTTTCTTTAGCTTATCTCTCACAATATCACTTAATTGAGACAGGGACGTGCCTGTTTAATGAGAACTGAAAACTTTACACCAATTACACGGAGTTCAAAAGAGTTTAAAAAATTATTGAATAAATGACTAGTATTTCAAAGAACAGACTTTGGGAAGCATTGTTTAAAACTATTTTCTCAAAAAAAAAAAAAAAACAAACAAACAAACAAAAAAAACTATTTTCTCAGGCAGCCTGGGTGGCTCAGCGGTTTGGCATTGCCTTCGGCCTGAGGCATGATCCCAGAGTCCCACCATGGAGTCCTGAGTCAGGCTCCCTGCATGGAACCTGCTTCTCCCTCTGCCTGTGTCTCTGCCTTTCTCTCTCTCTCTCTCTCTCTCTCTCTCTGTCTCTCATGAATAAATAAATAAAAACTTAAAAAAAATAAAAAATAAAGCTATTTTCTCCATAAGGAAAAAGACCATATATGATGGTACCCAACAGAGAAATAGTGCCTAAGGACTACTCGCTCTTCTAGTAACAGAGTACACCAGAACATACATTCATGTTGGGTTTTGATGGCTATTTAACAAACTACAGAGGCCCTTATTTTAGAAAAATGAAAGTTTTTTTTTTTTAAATTAAAAAAATCTGTACTTTAAATCAATCTTAAGGAGTCTCTTATGGGAGAAAAATGCACTCTGAACATTTTGCTAGACATTTAACGTGTATTTTCTTATTTAATTCCTCAATATCTATGTGTCAGCCAGCAATATTTATCGAGCCCCTAATATGTGACTGGCCTTGTGCTAGGTAGGACTACCTGTGATGAACAAGACAGACCCAGTTTGGGCAGTAAGAGACCCTGCCATAGTCACACATAGTCACACACACACACTCTCACGGTGAGTTAGTAGCATACAGACTTTTTCCGGTGTAAATACAGTTATAGTCTTTGTTCTTTCTATTTAACTATTTCAACGAATACCTTCTGTTTGTTCTAGACTAACAGATAATCCAATCAATACAGATGGGTTTAAAATTTTGGATGCATTCACTTTAGTGACCAGTATTTTATGAATCTTTGAGAAGTATTTATTTATTGACACCAGTCATAGTATTTTTGGTTCAAACATGCTTTCACATTCGGTCTGCTGGTATAAAAGCACACTCGATGGGGATCCCTGGGTGGCTCAGCGGTTTAGCGCCTGCCTTGGGGGGGGGGGGCAATCCTGGAGTCCCGGGATCCAGTCCCACGTCGGGCTCCTGGTATGGAGCCTGCTTCTCCCTCTGCCTGTGTCTCTGCCTCTCTCTCTCTCTATGTCTATCATGAATAAATAAAATCTCAAAAAAAATAAAAGCACACTCGATGGAAAATATCCAATCGCATGCGATAAATTTTAGGAATAGCATTTCAACTAATGTTTGCAGTCAGTTGTCATTCTTCCTGCTGCTCCTCTCCTGGGGTCCAGGACTGCTAGTTAAATAGGTTCCAAGCTTCCTAAAGTCCAAATATCAAGACCATGGGAATGAAGGACCGGAATCCAGAGTCAGGCCCCAAGGGGTGGGGGAGCAAACTGTCCCCTAAGACCTGTGGCTCTGACCCTGAAAAAATTGCTGAACCATTGACTTGAGGCTCATGAAAGTGTTAAGACTATCTCAAAGTAGATCAAGGCACTGTTCCTAGCCCAAGTGTAGAAGGACACAAACCTGCAAGAGATGGGTCTTAGCATTCTGTGAAATCCCATCTTTGCAGTATTTTAAACTCTGACCTACAAAATACAGTTTACCCCAATTTAGAGTTTCATTCTTCTTTTACCAGACAGGTTAACTACATTGGATCAGGATTTTCTTTTCTTTTTTTTTTAAAGGTTTTATTTATTCATAAGAGATACACAAAGAGAGGCAGAGACATAGACCTAGGCAGGGGGAGGTGCAGGCGTCCCACGAAGAGCCCGATGCGGGACTCGATCTGGTGACTCCGGGATCACGACCTGAGCCAAAGGCAGAGGCTCAACCACTGAGCCAACCCAGGCGTCCCTGGATCAGGATTTTCAATGCAAAAGTAGTATATGGAATATTTTTACCTATTGCAATTATCCCCTTGGCTTAAGTGTTGTAAGCGTGACTTACACAGGAATGACATCAATGGTGCAAGCGGCACGAGAGTGGGCCAGGTCCTGAAACTTCACGGAGGTGTTCTGGATCGTGGTCTGTTTGCAGCGTTCACGCTGACTTGGCTGTAACCAAACACCCCTCCTCATTTTCTCAGGCTCAGGGTGTTCCTGAGTCTAACCTCTAGGTTACCCTGAAATCACAGCACCACCGTAAAGTCGAAAAGGGACGGCGAGCAACAGGGGCAGTGTGACCTCTATCATAGGTCAGTAGGGTCAGCGGTCGCGGTCATCACACCGCCTGTCCCCACGAGCTGCTTCTCCAGCCCTGGGGAAGAGAGCCTGGGAGGAGGCAGGTGGGGCACCGGGGGGCGCACCCGGTAGGCTCGCGGCAGCCCAGCGCGCAGGTACCGAGGGGCGCGAAGGGGCGCCTGCGCGGGGGAGGGGGCTTCCGGGGCCGGCGGCGGGGGGCGGGGCGGGCGGGGCTGGGAAGCGCGGCGAGCGCGCCCCCGGGCGGCGGGGGGCGGGGCTGGGATGCGGCGTGCGCGCCCCCGGGCGGCGGGGGCGGGGAGAAGGGCAGCGCGTGCGCGTGCTCGCCGGTGGAGGGGGCGGGGCGGGGCTGGGAAGCGCGGCGTGCGCGCCCCCGGGCGGCGGGCAGCGGGGCTGGGAAGCGCGGCGTGCGTGTCCCCGGGCGGTGGGGGCGGGGAGGAGGGCAGCGCGTGCGCGGGCTCGTCGGCGGCGGGGGCGGGGCTGGGAGGCGCGGCGTGCGCGTCCCCGGGCGCGGGGGCTGGCGGGGGCGGGGCTGGGAGGTGCGGCGTGCGCGCCCCCGGGGGGCGGGGGCGGGGGGAGCAGCGCGCGCGCGGGCTCGCCGGCGGAGGGGGGCGGGGCGAGGCGGGCGCGCGCGCGGGCTCCCCGGAGGCAGGAGGGGGCGGGGCCGCTCCCGGGCCTGTGCCCGCCCCGGAGTCGGCCGCAGTGTGTCTCCGGGCAGCCGCCGCCGCCGCCGCCGCCGCCGCCGCCGCCGCCGCCGCCGCCGCCGCCGCCGCCGCCGCCGCCGCCGCCGCCGCCGCCGCCGCCGCCGCCTGGGGCAGAGCGGTCGCGGACGCGCCACCTGCAGTGCCGGCTGCTGCTTTCTATTTACTAGCAAGCACCGTTTCCCCGCGGGAGAGTCCGGGAGCGCGCGCGCGCACACACACACACACACACACACACACACACACACTCACACTCACGCTAGCGAGCGCGTCTTCACAACCGCATCCCCAAACCGACAGTGCGGAGCTGCTGCGGTTTCTCTTAACGTCCGCCTCGCGGGGAGAAGCGGAGCCGTCGTGCAGCAGGAGCGCCCGGTGCCTGACCCCGCAGACCGCTCCCCCCCGGCGGGTAAGCCCGGCTCTGCCCGTCACCTGTTCGGGGTCGGTGCCTGCAGAGCGGAGGGAGAGGGCGGGCGGCCGGGTGCGCCGTTGGGGGCGGGACCGCAGTTGGGATTTCAGGGGTAGGCGGCGGGTGCAGCCGGACCGCGCGGCCCAGCGGGAGCAGCCACTGCTCCGGTGCTCACTCTGCAGACCCTGCAGGTGCCCCCCACCCCGCCTCCCCGCCCAGCCCCCAGCCCCCAGCCCCCAGCCCCCAGCCCGAGACGTGCTGTGCTCCTTGGTTGCCAAGGAGACTTGCTTAAACATCAGCCCTGGGACATCTGTTGAAACGACGGGCTTTTAAAGACGATGCTGTTCTTTATTTTGATTCTTAAAAATGAAATACACACCGAGGACCATGTGGTAATCGGGCAATCGCTAAGATCATTCTGGGCAAGGTTTCATTCAACTTCAAGAGGAGCGGTACTGCACTCTAACGTGCGCTTTAAAACGGATTCGTCAGATGAATTTTTCAACGGATTGTGTCTTGAATCATAAATCACTCCCATTTTGGTGATGCTCTAAAGAACAATGAGTCCAATGAAAATCCCCCCCCCCCCCGTTGCCACATTGTATCTTGCAGTTCACTCAGGCACTATTATCTTAACATTAAAAGTGAAAGAGGAATTAACTGTTTCCCACCCAAGGATGATCTGCTGTAAATTGGCCACAACAGGAATACACAGGTGAATTCCTAACGTGAGGAGATAGCACTCGTGACAAATTTGCTAACATGTCTATGGCCACTGCATCATTAAGTGCAGCTTTCTGCACCTCTGCCCATCTCTAAGAACATTCCGTTTCCTTTCAGGTCCCTTGACTGTTTTGTTTTTTACATAAATATCTACATGTTGACGGATACAGATGCAGAATTTGTGCCATGCCTTATTACTCCCAAGATTCGAAGGTTTTGGAGCTCATATTGAAATGTTGAGAGGAAGGAGGCACAGAGAAAGCAAGATCCTTGCGTTGTTGTCGTTTTGGTTTTTTTTTTTTTTTTTGGATTGGATCCTTTTTTTGGAGAACTGGGTGAGGGCCAAGGTGGAGGTCAGTACTCAATTATCTCTCCAGGACCCCTAATGAAGGGTGTGTCAGTGTTACTTTGAAGGCTCTGGTGCCTAATGGGTAAACTTAAAACAGCACTTGAAGGGACCATCAATCCATTAAGTATCCTTTGCACTGATTTCATACCTTCATTAGGAACAGAGATGACCTAGTAAAGATCTTCTGGCATTCAGCAGTTCCTTTTGTTTTCCTTTGATATTTGTTCATCTTTTTATCTCTTATTACTTCAAATTCTTATCCAGTAATACGAAGAGCAAGGAAACTAGTAATAGCTGAGGAAGCATTAGAGGGGTTTTGTGCAACTGAGGGGGGCTGGGAAATAAATAAAGATGACAAATATTTTATATTACACTTTATGAAGTACTTTCCCCCCGCTCTTCTTTTTTATTCCCTACAACAATCTTGTGAAGTCAAGGAATTATCTGCAGTTTAAAGCTGAAGGACCCAAGACTCAGAATTTGTGGAAGGTCACAGAGCTAGTGAATGGGGAAGTCTTTTTTGGATCCAAATTCCTTGCCTGTAAAAAAATTCTGTGTCTGTATTTCCAATGCACAAGTAAGATAAAATAGTGGAGCAGGCCCAGTGGGGGCCATGTGGGAGAGAGGGTTCTGGACTTGGAACATACAAAACCACTATGGAAAGGGCAGCACCAACTCCCTTGTAGATAGATGACTGTTGCTACTCCGGCTCTAAAACATTCTAGTTTTTCAAGGGAAACAGAAGGTTACATATTTTTATGTGAAGTATCCTTCATTTTATAAACTAAGGACCACATTGAAAGTGTATTTGGGCCACAGAAGGCCTGTGGACTGCCAGTTGCAATCCAGAGTTACGGAGTTCTCATTCAACTCTTGAATATTTTTCTCTTATGGAATACCGATGTGAATGAATCTATCCGTCATTATAAGAGTGGTGAGGAGTTTTCTGGTTTTGATATTAAAATCTAAAAAATGCAGTGTTTCTTTTCGTAAATAGGTCCGAGTTTCTTTTTCTTTCTTTCTTTTTTTTTTTTTAGGGCTCCTAGGCCTCTCATACCTAAGAGAGAATAAAAGAATATGAAGTGCCCCCAAAGAGGAATTTTTTTAATCTCGTGAAACAAAAGCCTTTATGGTTTAAAATTTATGTTCCTGGGTGTTTTTTTTTTTTTTTCTGGGTGTGTACTATAAACTACAGAATAAGTAGGTTGAGTACCTGACATTGTAGGAAGAGGTAGAATGAAAAAAAAAAAAAAAGAAAAAAAAAAGGAAGAGGTAGAATGAGAAGTTAGTCAGAAAAAGGAGCATCCTGAGCTTTTCAGTAAAAATGACTTTTTCAGGCAGCCTGAGTGGCTCAGCTGTTTAGCACCGCCTTCAGCCCAGGGTGTGATCTTGGAGACCCAGGATCGAATCCCACGTTGAGCTCCCTGCGTGGAGCCTGCTTCTCCCTCTGCCTGTGTCTCTGTCTCTCTCTCTCTCTCTCTGTGTCTCATGAATAAATAAATAAAATCTTAAAAAAAAAAAAAAACTTCTTACTAAGATTTTAGGTAATTAGCTAAAGCCCACCATAGAATACCGCAATATTCCAAAGGAATGAAAACATAAATGGGAACTCACTTCTAGGATGCTGACATAGAAAATACAGTTTACTCCTTAAATAACAGCATCTTGTAATGAAGCATATACCTTTTGAGAAGCTGCCATCTTTTCATGTTTCTTCTAACACTACAGAGGTGTCAGCAGTCTTCACTGAAGCCGACCTGATGGGGTCAGAAAGGACATTTATTTATGTCATTTCTTTTGTGGATCCAAAAAGGTGCAGTTAAGAAAAAAAAAAAAAGCTAAGATTTGAACAGTGACTTTTAATAGTTCTCAAATTTTAAAATCCTCCTCTAGAAGGATACTTTGATAGTAAATAAATGCCTTTCAGTTTCAATTCATGGAAATATGTTGCATCTCCAGTAAAGAGCTATGTTATTACTACTGTGACAAAGTCCTGGCTTGGTGCTATAGAGATAACAGCTCTGCCGTCAAGGATTCAGAGCAAACAAATGTCCTGTTCCTGGTAGCTTCCACTTCCAGCCCCTTCTATGTTTTCCCTAAATGGAAAACTACTTTCTATATTTTCTTCCTAACATCTCTATAGAATAAAGATCTTATTGTCATTGTATCGATAGATAATCTGAGACTATGTGAAGTTAAACCAGACAAATAAATGGAAAACATCCGCAGCTCTCCTCACTTCACACCTCTCCTTCTCTGCCGATTCCTAATGGAAGTTATAGGCATTGTGATTTTGAGGCAGTTGTGTGTTAAAGGCTAAGATAGAGATACCGGATGCTGTAGAAACACAGATACAGGGGAAAATTAAAAAGTATGCTGATTGTGGAGATCAAATTATTCCTGTGTAGGAGGAGGATTAGTGCTGGATCCTGATGGCTGGGTTTGATTCTAGTAAATGAAGATCCTTTCAGCTATGCAAAGAGGGTAGGCTCTGTGAGATAGTCAGTTGGAAGTGTGAATTGAGAGGATAATGCTCATGAGGTCTGATCTTGATGAGCTCATCATTGTTGCTGAAGGGATGACACAGGCTGTGGTAAGAAATACGGTCTCCCAAGACGGAATGGAGTGTATCAAGAACACAGAAGTATGGGTGCGTAGCAGGGAGTAGAGCAAGGTGAGGTGGTGAAGGAGACTCAGAGGGGAGTTGTAGACGTAGGGGAGAATCTGAAGAGATAGTATGGATTCTTCTGAAAGACTGACATAAGGGTAAGGGGTGAACAAAGTATATCATGTGCTCTATACAGAGTTTGGAACACAGTAAATATCCATGAACTATTATGGTGTGTCTGTATTCTTAACATCCAGCATCTGGCCCATGATTTCCTGTCATGATACCACTTTTCTGTGGAAAGAAGGTGTACATAGACATTTTATGTGAGTTTAGTTGGAGTTGACAAATATCTGGATTTTCAAGAATGGGCAGGAGATTGTGCAAATTCAATGAGAACACGTCAGTGTAGACCTTGTAGTAGGGCCAAGACTTAGAAGTCAGGGAGGCTCTTGCAGATGCAGATTTTTTTTAAAGATTATTTATTTATTTATTCATGAGAGACACAGAGAGAGAGAAAGAGAAAGAGAGAGACAGGTAGAGACACAGGCAGAGGGAGAAGCAGGCTCCAAGCAGGGAGCCTGACACGGGACTCGATCCCAGGTCTCCAGGAGCACGCCCTGGGCTGAAGGTGGCACTAAACCCCTGAGCCACCCGGGCCACCCAAGATTTTGATGTTGGATACACCTTTGATGAAGTCTCATCTGCGGGACAAGTGAGGAGAAATATAAGCTGCTTGTTAGCTATTTGAAAATATATACTCAAACCCAGAGTGACAAATGCATGTACTCTGCTCTTGATCGAGTCAGTATTTCTGGTACCTGGATGGAGATATGAAAAAAAAAAATGTGACCCTCTAGCAGAAGTCGGATTTGGCTTCAAGTACTAGATCTGCAGTGAGTGGGAGAGAGAGCTACTCGTTAGAATGATGGGCACAAGATAAGAGGATGAGGTGAAATAGAGACACGCCATAGCTAGCAAGAGTCTAGCATGGAGGACATTTTAACTCCCATCAAGTGTAATATAAGCCAGTATGATGATTTGCTTTTCACAGTAATGGAAAAACGTTCTGAACAAATGATGTGAGGAGTCTGTCTTTCTTACGTAGCTTTTTGGCGACAGTGACGATAGGCCAGTGGAGGCAGTCTCTGTGTTAGGTAGTACCTTTCTCTCCTTTTCTTGTCCTTACATGCTGGTTCCCATTATCTCACAATTTCTTTCACTGTGGAGATTAGAATTTAGGAATTTAACCTACAATATCTTAACTTTCCTTCTTACTAAGAATTAATAGATGGGATTTATTCTGTTCCCCTTTCCCTG